CATTTATTGAATAAGGATTCTTTTCCCCAGTGTATGTTTTGTCTGCTTTGTCAAAGATTAGATGGCTATATGAGGATGGTTTTATATCTGGGTTCTCGGTTCTATTCCATTGGTCTATGTCCCTGTTCTTGTGCCAGTACCATGCAAAGAGACTCCTGGAATTGATAAATGAATTCAGTAAAGTTCAGGATACAAAATCAATACATACAAATCAGAGGCATTCACATATGCCAATAACTGTCAAACTGAGAACCAAATCAAAGACTCAATACCCTTCACAATAGCAACAAAGAAAATAAAGTATCTAGGAATATATTTTAACTAAGGAGGGAAAAGACCTCTACAGGGTGAACTATGAAACACTGAGGAAGGAGATAGCAGAGGACATAAACAGGTGGAAAACCATACCATACTCATGGGTCGGCAAAATCAACATTGTTAAAATGTCTATACTACCCAAAGTGATCTACAGATTCAATTCAATCCCTATTAAAATACCAATATCATTTTTCACATATAGAAAAAATAATTTTACTCTTCATATGGAACCAGAGAAGACACCATATAGCAAAAGCAATCCTAGGCAAAAAGAACAAAATGGGAGGCATCAATTTACCAGACTTCAAACTATACTACAAGGCTATAGTAACTAAACATACTTCTTTTTTTTTTTTATTTCAGCATATTATAGGGGTACAGATGTTTAGGTTACATACGTTGTCCTTGCTCCCCCCTCCCCCACTAAGTCCTAGTTTCAAATATGTCCATCCTTCAGGTGGTGCGCATTGCACTCTTTGTGTATAAACATACTTCTTGTTGATAATGAACAATAAGCTATTTTCAAATTTTGAGCACTTACTATGGCCAAGTACTTAACATACTTGACAAAATACAAATATTATGAGACTGATACTAAGAACTCTATTTTACAAAATGAAGAAATTGAGGCTTCAGGTGGTTTGGTACCAGGGTTACTCAACCTCCAAAGGGCAGAGCTGAAATGTTGTTCTTGGTCCAGTTATGGCAAAGGCAATGCTCTTAACAACTCTTTTGTGGCCCTGAATTCCTGCCTCTACAGAGAGCCACTGATATAGTACTTGGCTCCTCTGAAGAAAATGAAGGACAGTGAACACAAAGTAGATAGAGATAAGTGTGGGTCAAATGGATTGAGAAGGGAACAGGGGTGGGGGGTCGATGATGGGACCTTGCTTTATGGGTACAATGTGTGTTGCTTCAGTGATGTATGAATGTATGTACCAAGGCCTTGACTTAACCACAGTGCAATATATGAATGTAACAAAATTGCACTCATACCCCGGAATATGTAAAAATAAAAAATAGATGGAAAAAATGAAATCAAATAAATAAAACAAATGGATTGAGAAATCCAGTCTTCATTTCCGTGTATCATTATATAACTTTATAGACTATATCTCCGCTGGCTCTGTACATGGCTCCTTACCTATTCAGCTGAATAAATAAGTACAAGTAGGTCCTCTTTAATTAACCTGATGGGGCGTCTACATTGGTGATCGAATTTGAGTATCATTTAAATGGAGACCCATTGTTGCAGTAGGAGCAGGAGATGCAACAAGGGAAGCACTGAACTAGGACTTCAGTTCTAAAGCTGGCCCTGGCATGAACTAACAATACGGCCCTTTTAAGTTATTATCTCTGGACCATGTTTTCTCATCTGATAAATGTCAGATTATATCAGTGGATTTTTATTTTTTCACAACCTAATATCCTCTTTAGTACACCACATTTGAAAGTGTATCTATCAAAGAAAAAGACTATGCCTTTTAAAAATAAATTGATGTTTTAGTTACTTGCCAGCCAAAAAAAAAAAAAAATAGAAACTATATGTTATAGTTAATCTACTTGTCCTAATTTTGCTCTTCATTAGGCTTTCTGAATTATTAGGAATAGAACGTGAGACCCCTATTCTATTCCCGAGGATCCCTAGTGGTTCAGGTTTTCTATGATGGGATCCACTGTGCTAGATGCTCACTAAATGTTTTCCAAAGTATAAGATGCTGTGAGTGTACTGAGAGAGATGTCGTTTTAGGTTCAAGATTGTATTTCTTTGTTTGCCTGTTTGCTTGATCCTATTATCAAACCCCGGCTTAATACCTCTTTCGTCCTTGTCTTTTCTATTAGTTTCATTGTCTACCCTGATGTTCTCCTTCTTCTGTCAAGGTAGACAACGTAGTTACTAATAACTTTGCCTGGAATGTATCATATGTTTAAAATCTTCTATATATTATAAATATCCTAATTCAAGTCTGAACATAATTACAACACAAATACCAAAGTAACAATATATTCACAAGGTCAGTCTTAAACATAGGGAAAGAAGGTTACTATGGCATAAGAAGAAAAAGAGCCCAGACTTGAGCCCTTTCCTGGGTGACTTTGGAATTAATTGGGAAAATACTTTTCAACCTAGAGCATATTATTCAAATATTAGTGGTTGTTTTGGGGGGTTGTGTGTGTGTGTGTGTGTTTGGTTGTGGTAGTATTGGCTGTTTTTACTGTATAAGAAAATGATTCAAATGCCAGCTCTGCCACTTGCTGACCATATGACCTTAGAGAAATTATAACCTTTCCAATCCTCCATCTGAAAACTCTGGAGAATGAAAGTGTCTACTTTACAAAGTTGTTGAGATGGACTGAATAAGATACATACATAAAGCATTTAGCAATAGAAATATCTCAATAAATCTTTATTATTTTATCATTATTATTACTTATGTGATTTAAGGAGTGTCATGAAGGGTCCTCATTGCAAAATATTTTCCTACCAACCTGATATAGTCCTTAAAATGCCATCATTACATGTTAATTCCTTTGTGGTAAGGCTTTTTTGCCCCAATAAACCATGTTATAAATTAAGAGGAAATTATTCAATTAGCAAAAACTGAGTAGGTACTGTGTGCCAGAATTTCTCCACAATAGTGGTTTCTTTTTGAAGGAGCTTATTAGGTGCTTTTCTCCTTGGTTGCTAGCTAATAGCAAAACACTGAGAGAGATCTGGATTTTGTTGAAAGGGTTATGTTAACTAGGACAAGTCTGAATGAGTGACTTCCCTTGGGGCTCTGGACAACCCGGCAACACCACAGCAGCATTGTGTATCCAGGGGTGAGAGTTTACTCAAAGAAGTGTGCAGGGAGTTAGCTGTTCTCCCAGCAAAACAGGTCCCAGGGTAGGATTGTCATAAGAGATTTGGAAATAATAGAGACAGAGACAAAGTGCAGTTTAAAGTGATGGGGGAGTTAGGGGTCCTCCAGCATTCCCGTGAACCAGAAGGCCCTGAATGAAATCCCACATCAGTATTTATTGTTACATCAAGCAGTTGTCCTTGGTCAAAGAATTATGTGTACAGATCATTTGTTAAGGTTTCAAGGCTCCCCAAAGGTTTCAAGGGACCCTTACCTAATGCTGTCTACAAGAATAGACAGTTACAAAATTTTTCTAAGATAAACATTTTAAGCCCTAAGTTAAGAATAGACCTAGCTGAGCATACAAATTAAAGATAAAAATGTATAAAGCTGGAACACTGAGTTTGTATACTATTCTAACCTATTTCTCTAAATACAGAGATATGTGATCAGGAGTAACGCAGGAATAACCTTGAAGTTTAAGATAATTCCAGCTACATGTTATCTGCTGGGCTGGCATTTTGATCAACTTCTTAGCTTTGGGCCCAATGCTGAGCTCTGCCTTGCACAAGCTCCAGGCGATGGCTTGCAGGCTTCAAAGTCGCATCTCTTTGCAGATGCTTCTGATAATGGCCCCCTTGTTGCTAAGCAGCTTCCAGTCTGTGAACTAACACACCCACAGATTCCTTCAAGGCAAAGCCCTGCAAAACTCCTGAAACTTTTCATGTCTCTTAATCTTATATTCCAACAGAAGTGGAGGAAGAGGGGTGTAGGGAAGGGAGGAACACCTAAGGCAACAAAACTCTGCTTCCTTCATAATTTTGCCCTGAGATATCCTGGATTTCCTTAGAGAGACTCACTTACACATGGAGAAGGTACCTGCTGTGTGTTGTAGATGACCTTGTTTACTACATTTTAATATAACAAAATCAGCAAAGAACCAGTATTCTGGGCCTTCCGTCATGACATAGAAACTGCCAAGTTATTCAGACATAGACAAAAGAAAGAACATCTTTAGGCAAGAAGATAAAATCCCAGCCCCACAGCATTTCACAATAAAGCTTTGTTCTTTTTTTTATTTTAAGGTCAGTATGTATCGAATGAGGAACCCACCTGGGACATCATGGTCCGTCAGAGCTACCCCCAGAGGGCGAAGCACTATGAGTTCTATAAAACGGTGATGCCACCAGCGGAGCAGGAGGCTTCAAGAGTTATCACTAGTCAAGGCACCGTTGTCAAATATATGTTGGATGGATCCACACAGGTAAAAGAATATTTTAGATAATTTACTATTTCCTACTGCCAAGTAAAAGACAATTAGGCTATGGGTAAGGAATGGTACTATAGCAGTAAAGAGGAACAACTCACTTGAAAAAGGAATGACAAATGAAGAATAGTATAATTCAAAATGAAAAATGAATAGTATAGTTAGAGAAAAAAACACTGTCTATGAAAAACAGGATACAAATAAACTTGTCATTTCTATGCATGGTCTAAGATTGCAGACTGAAAACAGTGTCTTCCTCCTCTCTCTCTCAAGGTATTTTAAAATATAGAAAAAATCATTAAATAATAAATTCATAATAGTACAGGAAGGTAACAAAATATATCATCAATAATACATTATAAGATTTGGAGAATTCCTAAAAAAATGCACATCAGATGGGATCAGACTGATGAAAAAAAAGAGCAAGGTTTAAAACATATACAAGAGAAAAACCTGCAGCAAAATTAAAAATCAAAATGGGAGTTCTAACACAGACATTTTACACAGGAGCTCTGAGCTCAGAAATTCAGAATGATGGTAATTCCCTAGGTAACTAACTACTCCCTGGGGATGGGAACTGGAAACCATAAAAAACCAGAAGCCATATGCCCTGCTCCACCCCTCCCAATGATTGCAGAAGAGGAGCTCCCATAACCAGACACTGCACCACTAAGAAGTAAAAAGGGATTCTCAGTGAGAAATAGGACCATGCACCTAAGAATCATCAACCTTGGAGGGAAGCCAATCCATGAAAGTAAAGAACACAATTCAATATATTAAAGAAATAGCACCCAAAAATAAAAATAAATACCTAAAAAATTTTAATAGTGAGTAAAAGTAATATAGGCAGAGACTTGAGAGGTTAATGGTCCATAAAATAAAATTTTTTAAAAGTTTCTAAAGAAAAAAATCACAAGTTCTTAGAAGCTAAAAATAATTATGAGAAATCAAGGGGTGGGAGAGGGTGGATTATGAGTGAGAGAAAAATTGAAACATGGAAAAGGGATCCATATTATAGAATTTCCAGAAGAAGAACATAGTAAGAATGAAAGGGGTAAATAATCAAAGATATAACATAAGAAATTTTCCCAGAATTTAAAAAAAAACTCGGATTAAAAGATTAAACAGGGCAACCAAGTGCCAATCAAGACTAATACCAAGTGTCTTTAAAATATCATCTCAGTATGTCTTCATGCAATTTTAGGACTGTCTAGATAAACAATCCCAAAAGCTTCCTGAAGGAAACCAGTTACTTATAAAAGAATAAGAACCAGATGGACATTTGACTTCTCATTAGCAAACCGATGGTGGTCCTTGTCATGTTGACTGGGAGTGTGTAAATACTAGTACAGGAGAGCTGTATCTGTAGTACCGAGAGACCCTGTACACATTAGGTAGATATTAATAGAAACTACACATTTCAATATATGATAAGATTTTAAATGTAATCATTAGAAAAATTGAAATAGAGTATGTAATTTCCCGATTGCCTAGGGGAAGGGTAAAGAATGGGAAAAAATAAAATTCAAATCAATCTAAGAAGAGACAGGAAATGAAAAGAAACAAAACAGAAGATAAATAGAAAATATAAAATAACATTATTGTGCTGGTTATGAAGCTATCGTCTCTGAGCTCCAAATCTACCCTTCTATAAACTGCTCTGTGATGCTAAGTCTGGAGGTCTGCAGACAGCATTTCTTCTTTGGATTATTTTGAAGCTATTCCAGTTTGACACACAGTGTTTGCTGTTAACCAGCCTCCTCCTTGCTCCTGGGAATGCTGGAAACTTTTGTTTTTCCTTCAGATTCTCTTTGCAGATGGTGCTGTGAGCAGTAGTCCCGATTCAGGTCTTATATATCCTCCTCCTGAAATGACAACAAGCCCTCATAATGGAGATTTGATGGACTCAATTTCTCAGCAAAAAGCAGAAATAGCACTGTCTGAAACTGCCATCACAAAGAAAGGTAACAATTGAAGCCTCTAGAATTATAATGGATTTAATAAAGTCTTTGGGTGCTTAATAAGTGTTCAATATCATTATGATTATACCTCTTACCTTTTCTATGAATATATTCAGATATATTCATATATATATATACGTATAAATGAATTTTCATTGCAGTCACAGAATTACATGCTATTTCATAAATTGCTTTTTTTCTCTTAGTAATAGATAATGAACATTTTCCTGTGTCATATATTCCTACACAACTTTAGCTATAGTATCTGGACTGTTATTTTAGGGCTGGTTGAGCAGATCGATGAAGTCAATATTCCAAACAGGCATCTCTATGATTCTCTTGATCTTTTCCTCATAGTTGCAAGAGGCATGAGGTCCTTATACAGTAACTTCCAAAGCAGAAAGGAAAGAGGGCAAACACAACAGCTTTCTTCAAGTGTCTCTTTTTATCAAGGAGGAAAATATTTCCAGATCCCTTATCCCCCAGCAGACCTCATATGTCATTGATTAGAACTCGCAGGTGATCAAGGCTGGGAAAACAGCCTATTTGACATTTTTGACCTCTTTCTCAGGAGAAGAGCACTACTATTAGAGGAAAAAGAAGGTGGATAACAGTTGGGTAAGCAATGAACAGTGTGTGTCATGATCTAAATTACAAGATCACTGTCCTGAGAGGTATTTCTGATTTACACCCCTACCACTAGCACAGTTTGAAAATGTCTACTTCCTCATACCCTCACCAATGCTTTTTATCATTCTTTTAATCTTATTCAATTAGGTAGATAATTAATATATCTTATTATTATGCTAATTTGCATTTCTTTGATTACTGGTGAAGTTAAACATTTAAAGATGTTTACTGGGTTTTCTTTCCTTTTGTGGATTTTCTATGCAAATCTTTTCTTAGTTTACTATTGTATGCTTATCATTATCATATTAATTTTCAAGAGATCTTCATATATAAGAGATGTGTATTTGTGTATCAGGAACCATCCTGAATATTTTAAATATTAAATCCGCTAATTCTCTGTGAGGTACATATTTTAATAATCTCCAACTTACAGATTAAGAAAATGAGACACAGAGAGGTTAAGTAACTTCCTTGAGGTCTCTCAGCTAGCAAGTAGTAGAGCTGGGATTTGAGCTTGAGCACCCTAAATTATACTACTTCTAATGCCTTACAAATTTTTCTCAATTTCTCATATGCCTTTAATGATCCAAAACCAAGATTTAATCATTTTTTGTCAATTTCACACATCTTTCCACAGTATCTAGTAATTTCGTATGGAGACAAACTGAATTCCTTTTTTGCTTACTCAAAATTTAATAAAACAGATTTTCCTTCAGGAGTAGCAGAGGTTCCTTGTTGGAGAAGTAAATGAAAGTACCCCTATAGCTTTCCAAAACTTCTTGGCTCAAAGATCCCCTCTTTTGTTGATACAAGAGGACTTAATATGAGACTAGTCTGTGTAGCCACTTCTCGAAGAGCTTCTAGCAGGGTGTGTCCCAGACTTCTTCACATCCCTTCCTTCCAAGATAAAACACTCGTTTTAAAAAAATTAATAGATTATTTTTAGAGAAATTTTAGGCTTACATAAAAATTGAGTTCCCATATACTACATCTATTCCCCACTCACAATTTCCCCTATTATTAACGTCTTACTTTACTGTGGTACATTTGTTACAATTGATGAACCAATCATGATATATTATTATTAACTAAAGTCCGTAGTTATACATAGAGTGTACAACTCTTGGTTTGTACATCCTATGGGTTTTAACAAATGCACAATATCATGAATCTACAGTACCTTATGTATCATACAGAATAAGTTCACCACCCTAGAAATGCCTGTACTTTATCTATTCACCCTTCTCCTCTGCCTCATCCTGAACCACACATACCCTCCCCTCCCCAAATTCCTGGCAACCACTGACCTTTTTACTGTCTCTACAGTTCTGCCCTTCCTGGAATGTCATATAGTTAGAATTATACGGTACATAGCATTTTTTTTTTTTTTTTTTGACACAGAGTCTCACTCTGTTGCCCTGGCTAGAGTGAGTGCCATGGCGTTAGCCTAGCTCACAGCAACCTCAAACTCCTGGGCTCAAGCCATCCTCCTGCCTCAGCCTCCCGAGTAGCTGGGACTACAGGCATGTGCCACCATGCCCAGCTAATTTTTTCTATATATTTTTAGTTGTCAAGATAATTTCTTTCTATTTTCTTCTTTTAGTAGAGACGGGGGTCTCACTTTTGCTCAGGCTGGTCTCGAACTCCTGAGCTCAAACAATCCTTCCGCCTCGGCCTCCCAGAGTGCTAGGATTACAGGCGTGAGCCACCGCGCCTGGCCAGTACGTAGTATTTTTAGACCAGCTTCTTTCAGTTAGTAATATACATTTAAGATTCCTTCGTATCTTTTCATGGCTTAATAGCTCATTTCTTTTTATCACAGAATAATATTCCATTCCTGGAATGAAATTTCATAAATAATATTTCATCAAAAAAAATTTTAAACTTGTAACACCATAAAGCAGCTCTTCTTACTGAGATTCAGCCATTTTTCTTGAATTGTTCCTCAGATTGTTGCAATTCTTTGGTTAATCTCCAAAATTCTGAGAGAATTGATTTTGGTAATTTTTTTCAATGTTCTCAGTGTTTTTATAGAGGAGTGTATTTTCTCTGGTTCTTATTTGCTATTCCAGAAGTGCTTCTCCCATCTTACAAGGAATATTTAGTATTTTTCAATTTTAAATATTATCTAATTTTCATTATAACTTTTTCTTTGACCTTTCAGTTATTTAAACTTGTTCCTAGATTTCCAAACCTATGAAGTATTTCTAGTTTGTGTTTATAATTGATTTTTAACTAATTGTTCAAAAAATTTTTGAAACATGGTTTATAGCCTCATATATGGTCAAGTTTTTTAAAAGCTCTGTACTTGAAAAGAGCACATATCTTGTGTTATTTGGTAGAGTCGTCTTAAATTTATTCAATGAAACTCGTTAATCATGTTGTTCAGATCTCTGTCCCAGGTCAGCGAACTTTTCTATAAAGGGTAACATAGTAAATATTTTAGACTCTGCTGGGCCATATGGTCTCTACCACAACTGCTCAACTCTGCCATTGGAGCATAAAAGTAGCCAAGATCAATGTATAATTAAGCCTAGCTCTGTTGTATTTCAATAAAACTTTATGTACACTAAAATTTGAACTTCATATAATTTTTATGTATCGCAAAATATTATTCTTTTAATTTTTTTAGCTTTTTAGAAATGTAAAAAGAATTATTACTTCACAGACTGTACAAAATAGATAGCAAGCCTTATTTGACAAATAGGCCAAAGTTTGCCAATCCCTATTCTATATCCTTACAGATTTGTTTAATTTACTGTATCAATTTACGCAGTAGAAGTATGTTTAGATTTCCCAAAAGAATAGAATAGTCTCTTCAGTGCTGTTCCTT